GACATTGTGTGCAGGCTGATTCTCTTTAAATCTATTTCTAAGCAGAAAACATTACGTCTTCGACAAACCTTCACAGCAACGTTCTGCTTCCTATAAACGCCGTCACCTCTGCATTAATAATCCATCGCTCCGCGTTACATCTCCGCATTCTGGCCGTCATTGTGTGAACAAGGAGAAGTAAAAAAAAAAAAAAAAATGCAAGCATGCATTAAGGAATGGCCTCTTTCGTGAACCCCCGACACGGCAAATGTGGGGAGATGGGGGTGTAATGAGAAGTGACAGCCAGGCAAACAAATACTCATACAGCAGCTGTATGTGACCTACATTTGAGAGGGGGGGGTGGAGGCCAGCGCAGCCTATAGAGCTGCACTCATTCAAGTGAATATGGTGTCAGTGATGGAGAACCACGTTTCGTCTGGGAGCAAACATGAGATGATGAGGAGTCATGGACATCACTGTACTGTTCACACTACACAACTTTCACAGTGGTCAGATCGCTGTACTGTTCACACGAGTATGAACTAGTATCAGTCCCTGTGTTATGTTTATTCATGAAAACATCCAACACCCTCGGTGCAACAACAACTTAGGTCCATGTTGTAAATGCACCACATAACTCACACAGTTGAAGGCCTCCACCATGTTTCCTCTCAACCCGTGTCTCAGGCTCCGATTGGCCGATACATTTATCTAGCCTGCATCTCTCTCTTGGCTCGCATCGAGGATTTGCCTCTGATCTGGAGATTCCGACGGGGAACCTCCAAAAAACAGCCGCAAGCAGAAAAATCAGGGCTAAAGTCATGTAATGTAAACTAGACACGAAGATACTTCTTAACATGTTGTGGAATTTTGTGATTTATCACATTTTTCTGACTTTTCAGAGACCAGATTATTAAATCAATCACTAATAATTAATCAAGGAAATAGATGTCACGTACTTCCTTGTTTTATTCGACAAGGCTGAAAGTGTGAAGCCCCTCTGGTGGCCCCTTGAAGCTTCAATGGTTATTACATGCCACGATAGAAAACTATTTGAATGGAACAAACGACAAACTGACGGATTATTTTTCCACTGGGGTCAATGATATCTGCAGCTAATTCCATTCAAACACGGAGATACTCTGCCAGGGACCAGAGCGCTCGTCTGGGGAGATTTCTGACTTGATGGAGGCACAAGATAAAACCAAAACTATTCTGAATTATATTCTGGGAACAAGCGGACGGACAGATGGATCAACTGACATTGCCTCGCTGTTAAAAGGGTCAGAAACTATGGAAAACACATTCTCCTATGAAGGCAGATAGTTTTAGTAACGGAACCACTTTCTACTGAAGAAATAGTCCTCATGAAATCTGTCTTCTGAGGATTATCAGCTGTCATAACGTAGAAAGTATTTCTGTTGAATCTGAATCTCAGACTGGACCAAACAAATCAAACACGTTTTATTAATCATGGACTGGAGTCATTAAAAGCTGAAGAGCCATGTTCCCAAAACAAGCCAAACCGGATCGGCCGTCAGGCACCAGTTCCCCTCGAGCCTCGACTGTCGAGACGTGCAGTGAGGTCAGGTTTTAGAGTCAGCATTAACATCCTCTGCAGCCGTCTGAATCCAGACCTCCACCGTGTTCTCGGAGGACTCGTCCTGCTGGAAACACTGATCGATGTGACAGTTGCTGAGCAGCAACCTCTCTGCAAACAGCTGATGTCAACGTGTTAATAGACCAATGCTGAAGCTAGCGGAGGCCTCTGGTAAACTCTGAGATAGAGTACAGGAAGTATTCAACTGTCTGACGGCAGATAGAGGCTCTGCTACTTCTTGTAATCACTCGAGTTTTTGCTGTGATTTGGTCCCGAAAAGCATAAATACTATAAATAACAACTATCAAAGGTGACGAGTGGACGGTTGAAGTCACGGTTTTCCGGCTTTGAGGAGGGCGATGGACACAAAATGGAGGACTTTCCTTTTCTTCTTAATGTTTATTTTGTTCTGTACAACGACTGTGACGTCCACAAAGAAACCGTAAACGAACAAAAGCATAAACGCTCTGCAGTACGACAGAGACTTCCAGCCACCGGCAGAGCTACGAGTGAGAACAGACAACAACGAAACCGAGGAAACGAATGACAACGTTTTATTACTACATAATATTATTATATATTCATATTTATTCACCCATAATCGAGTAAACCTTGATTTGTAAGTGTTCATTTTTAAAGTGCATTTGATGTGAGAGAGATAGTTACAAGGCTGCAGGTCTGGCTCTAAGTTTGAAGAATAAAACTTGTTTTTTTCCAACGAAATGTGTCTGTCTGAGTTTATAGAGGAAGATCTTAAGCATCAAGCACAACCTTTTTATTATTAAAGAGTACTTTAATACTATAATAATTCCTGTTTACACCGGCACCCGGATGCCTTGTGTCAGTGAATAATCATGTTTTATTAATTTTCAGGCGTGCTAGTATGAACGGGAATCATTTAGAGAACGATGCTGAAACGTCCGTGTAGACGTAGATCGCTTTCTTTTTTAAAACCCTGTTTTTTAACGGAAACCTATGCGTGTGAATGTGTGTCGCCTTAGTTTCATGTCATGATGGGATGCTGAGGTTGACTTAAGGCCTTCAAGTAATCCAACAACCACGCATAGCGATTGGCCAGCACACAGGGCCCTATTGGAATATTGATCGGAGGGTGTGGTGATTAATAATTACACTCTCAGCCAGTCATCACTGGTCTCATAGCTCTGAGCACGCTGTGCTAAACTACAGTGAGGATCGACAAATGAAGAAAGGACTACACCAGTAAATCATGTTGTTGTTGTCTGGCTGGTGCAGAGCGACATGACGTGAACACACAGCAGCACAAATCCTGCAGCCAGAGGCAGAATTTAATTAGTTATAGCGACGATTGAAAATGTGATCGCATCAAACGCTGCTATTTCAGTCGTAATTGTTTTGTCTGTCATCACATTGCAACCGATGTGGTGCAACAGTCTTTCAAGAATAAAAACACAGCGTGCGACGAGCTCCGCTAATCAAATGTCTTCCGCTTAAACAAGCAGGACAGTGAGTTACAATAATGGACCAGCCTGGTGTGTGTGTGTGTGTGTAGCAGTTTGGTGTCGTTTGCATGTGATTTAATGAAGGTAAACACAGCGGATGGTTGAGCGGAATGGCATTACACTGTGACACTGCACCTCTAACAGGCTTATGGACACATCTGCTCTGTTGTTTTCATACACTAGAAATCAGCTGTGGACAACAGATGCAGTGAGAAGCACTCGTTCATTCAGAGATAGATGC